TTGGCAAATAGAGAATGGGGAGATAAGTTTCTTAGGCCTGCTTTTGAGCAACAGGCTTGTAGGCTTAATCAAGATCAGCCATGTCGATATGGATCTAGCTCATAGACAGTGGCTGGAAGGGGCAATTGGCAAGCATACATGCACTTTGCCCTCCCAAGTTTGGGTGATGAACCCTGTTCATCACTTGATTGGTTTTGATACTGTTCACTGCAAAGACCTTCAGGCATTGCAGAATGAAGCCATAACTTTTGGGTGCAATCAGATTTCGAACCCTCAGCAATCACAACTCCTTTTTGTGGTCTGGTCCGCTAAGTGTACATTCAATGACACAACGACTCTGTGCTTCCTTCCTTGTAAGTGCATTCTATCTCTCTTGCAACCTAATCCTGACTCCATAATTTGCAGCACAAAAATTCATTCAACTTCCATAAATAACATTTTTGTTTGTAATGTACGGTCAAGTACATGTCATGATGAGTTGTATATATGTTTTCTTGTAGTAACAGAAGCATAAATCAAAAGAATATGAGTAGCAGTTTTTCTGAGCCATGAAACCACATGCTGGATAGCAAGAGCAACACTAGAACTTTGAGCAGGAGATGTTTTTTCTTTTTTTTTTTTTGTTTCAAATTGTGCTCTGCCAGGACACTGAACAATAATGTATCCTCATAGCAAGTGCACCACCTATGAGTACACCCTCTGCCAGTCCAGCATAATTTCCTGCTGACTTAGTATAGAACTTGCAGTTTATGTGTCACACACTGTAATTCTGTATTTTGTTACATGTCGGTAGAACTTAACTTGCTCTGACCCTGTGCTGGCAGCACAATCAGTTGCTTGCTGTGCACGAGTACCTCATTTACATGGCTCAGCATCTCTCATCTCTTTGAGTGTACTGTGGAGGAATATATGCTGTTTAAGATGAACATAAGATCTAAGAATTCAGAAAATGTGCTGAAATTTGCGGAAACTTATAAATCTAGGCTTCTTAAACTTGAGGAATGTGTTCCTTGAGGTTAGGGTGACATCATTGAAGTTGAAATATGATTTACATGGGTGGTGACTGGGGTGTAGTGTCACAACATTTGTGGTTTTCAAGATTGATGCTGGGCTAGAATCACATATGGCTATAGAATAAATCTATTTATAACACCATACCTAAATAATTTCCAATGGAATAGGAATGCTTGAGCAAGTTTTCCTGTGTGATTGGGCACTATCCAGGCACTGATAAGCAGAATGAGGCAGAAGGTAATTATCCATTTTTCCGGAGTGAGCATGACCCGATTGCTAGGATGACTTACAGTATTTGATGGTGGGACATTGGAATATGCGAAATTGGGTGATGAAACGAATTATTTTGGGCCAAAGAAGGACCTAGAGGAATATATAAGCTTCAGAAAGTGAATAGGTGTGTATCTCCCATTCTTATGTCTTTACATTCATTATGCTGGTGCCCCCCTCCATCCCTCAATGCTAAGTAGTTCTATACATCCCTTGGTCCCACTTGCATCATGTCGTGTACTCCACAGTGTGCACGAGAACTTCTGTTGTTGGTGTGGTGTTGGTGTTGGTGTTGGTACCGGCACAAGGTCCCAATTAGGAATGGCCAGGTCCACAGCCCTGACATGGCAAGCCATGCGCCGTGGCCATGAAGGCTCATACTGTTTTGATCGCACGGTTGCGTACATCTCACAGAGTAGAGACTCTTCATGGGGTACAATGAAGAACATGAGTGAAGCATAACGATTCCTAGATCATGGACAATTCCTTCAAACAAGACTTCTCAACTTATCCATGTCTTGAACGCCCCAAAAATTGTGGGAGACATCGAGAGATATGGGCCCCATTAGTACCAACATTGTATGCACTGGCAGATTCAGTGGTAATGCATGACAAAAACAAAAGTGCAAGGCAGACTTTATGTAATATCCAAAAGAGAAAGTGAGATAGATATGAGACATACGCATGGACCACAAATAAATGGACAGAATACATCATGACGATACCACAGACTCGGAGTGACAAGATATGGGCAAGAGAAGGGGAAGGGGAAGATAACATTCGGGAAGGAAACACAGGCATCAGGTGAACATGACTGACAAAGCACACCATTTCACCGAACAGTGTGCCTGTACAGCAGGGCTCAAGCCTTAGCCTATGGAAACCAACGAACGCAGGTGTTGAACAACCACACACAATCAAGCCTACCATTTGCATAACAAACAGCATGCCTGTAGCGGTGCTCGAGCCTATGACAGCGACACAATGCAGGTGTTGGGCGATGGTGAGGAAACAAGCACACCATTATGACTAGAAAAAGTGTGCCTGTACCAGCGCCCAAGCCTGTGAAAACCACGAAACGCAGGTATCAGGAAATCGCAAATGATCAAGCCCATCGTTTGAATGACAAACAGTGTGCCTGTAGCGATGCCCGGCCTATGACAGTGACACAACGCAAGCATCTGGCAACCACGAGGAGCGAAGGACACCATTTCGACAGGAAACAGCGAGCCTGTAGCAGCGCCAAAGCCTATGAAACCAGAAACATGGTATCGGGCATAGTGTTGGTATGCATGTTTTGGTGGAAGGTGTGGTACCCGTACAAGGAGGTGAGTTCCATAAAAGGAATATTTGACTGGGACGGGGTTGTTTGGCAAACTCACTAGCTGGCTTTTCTCTTCACCATGATGATCGAGCCGATGCGTTCTCATTGTTCCCCTCAATTCCGTCATTGCAAGCCCATGCTATAGTCCCGGTTTCCAATTTCAAGGACTCTGACTCACAGGCAGGGGATCTCGTACTTTGGTGCGCTATTTCGTTGCCCACTTGCACGTTTGGTTTTACTCATTTGTACCTTGATTCTCTAGACTTGTCTTCAAACTATGAAGGACCCTCGCCTCAGTGTAAATGCATTGCGATTCTCAATGCATCAACGAAATTTGGAGTTGTCTTGATAGTGAAGGGATAACATGTAAGTACGGCATATCTTACGCGCGCGTCACAGTTTGAGGTGACGTCTGTTTTTAGGGACCGATTCCTCGTCTTACCCCTTCCCACCCACCCGGAAATCGTCAACATATCCTGTGTTTCCCCTCGTTAAGACCAGCCCCATCTTTTCTATCCCAATGGTGTCGATTTTTGCCTCGACGCAACGTATCGCGTTCCGGTGAGCTGGATATCTGGGAGAGTAGTGGGGAGGGAGTCGTGCACAGGTTGGGATGTGATGGAGCAGGCTTGCGTGAGGTGGATATGCGCATTGATCGAACTCGATCGCCAGGTCGTCTCCGTTCGATCGACACACCCATCGCGCGTCTTCAACACCACCATCCACTCTCCGTACCGATCCCCGCCGCTGCAGCATGACACCGAATGACCATCGTTCCGAAGCCGTATGATCGAACGTTAATGGGAATACTAGAATTTGCGTTGACACGATATATCGATGTCCGGGGAGCAAGGGTGTGAGCTCTATGAGGGGGATATTATTTGGAGATGGAGGGGTGTTCGGCTAGGTGGATGCGGATGTCTGGTGCTGACGACCCTTCTCTCCACTCGGGCGTGGGGCCGCACAAGATGTATCGACGACTACCGAACAAGCCTCCAAGATTCCGCCATGTTACGTAACAAACGGGGCGGCGGTTACCGTGAGGTGCAAGGTAATTGCAGGGAAGCAAGGATATCATGCCGACGGGATGATTGGCGGATGAGATGTGTTCGTGAGTATTCTATTTGGTTTTCGGCCTGCGACGAAGTTGTTGACGACTTCTGCAGTGCACAACAGCCGTCTCTCTATGGTACCCCGCAGTTACGGTCTTGCCGACTGGATAGTGAAGTGACGGATTTCCGGTAAGTGTTGCATTCGTTGCCTTGTGCAAGCTTCCACTGATGTTTTGCAGATTCTGACTTGGACATGACTGGATGAAGAAGAATATGAGGGAGGGGCCGAGGGGTGGATGCGAGTGAGGGTTGTAGATCTCAGCGCCGGTGGACGAGGAGGACATTCCTCCTCCCACTCAAGCATGGATTCGTGCTGCACTGCGTGCCGAACAACGTCCAAGGCCTACAAGCAGTATTTCTTGTCACGGGAGGTTCCACTTTGGTGAGTGGAATCTTGTATTGACTGATAGCAGCCTTGTTGACGACTTCCATAGTGTTTGCTATCATCCTAACTGAAGACCAAGGGCGGAACTTGGGGGTGACTGGCGAGTGCAGGATGTGCGTACTCAATCGTGACCGATGGCGAGGATGTCCCTCCTCGCACGTGGGTTGGTTCGATATCCCAGTACGATGCGCCCTTAGCTGGTGACCAACTTCAAGACTTACGTGGCGGCGTTTTCTTGTCACAGGGAGTTAGTTTTCGGTGAGTACAATCTCGTTCTGAATGGCAGCGATGTCGTTGACGATTTTAATAACATCTGCCGTCCATATTGACTGAACCAAAATCAAAATTTTGAGGTACGTATCATTTTTTTTCGAGGGACGTGCCGTCGTTGACTTCATCACCAGCACCCTGCCATCTCAAGGTTTTGATATCGAGGACATTTTCGGGTCAAGAAAATTCTTGTCTGTGGAAGTTGGTAGGTGTTTCGTGTATGTATTTTGTTGTCGGCTACGGGCTAACGATCTTTGTAGCACCAAACGCAGCCGTTTCGATTAACTTACCACTTCTGACGTTGGCTCTCATGCCGGGGGAGGATTTTTTGTTCGGATTGACTTGTTTGCACTCGAATGGTCACTTTTCATGCCGAACAAGGGTCATCATATTGGACTCGAACCTTTAACCGTGGCTTCGGATCAGGACTCCGAATGCTACCAGAACCAGGGAATAGGGATCTCCTTGATGTCCTAGGTTAGTCGTCACCAAACCGTGATTCACAGTTCTAGTATCTGAGCTATCTTTTTAGCAAGAGCGCGTGGCGCGGATCAGATGAGAGACAATGAAGTCGAGGCACAACTTGCGCAAGTGTTATCTTTCAGGGTCTAAACTTTATTGACATCTTTCCCACTGTAGCACATTTGTCATTGCGGGACACGAGACGACAGCCACTACCCTAGGGTGGCTTTTATACGAACTTTCTGCGCATCCCGAAGATCAAAGAAAAATATGGGAAGAGATTTCGCAAGCTTGCCTGCAGAACACCAAACTTTCCTCGAACGAGTATGATTCGATGCCATTTCTAAACGCTGCCATCAAAGTACGTGAAGCTGAACAAAGTTCGGACTTGTTACGCCGTTTTGATTTTAATCATTGACAGGAAAACCTTCGCCTACACCCTATCGCACCCACCCTTATGCGTAGGGCAGTTCAAGATGATTGCCTTCCACTATCCGAACCGATTATTACCAAGGATGGGAAGATCTTGAAAGGCATTCCTATCCCCGAAGGACAAACAATTCATTGTTCGATATACATGTATAATCGGTATGCGTAATTGTTCCCGATGATAAGACACTGGAGGGTCTAAACATCGTCAGGCTGCCGAACATCTGGGGTCCCGACGCAGATCAGTGGAATCCAAACCGATTTATTGGCGACAGAGCTCAGCCTCGCACTCTGCTCGGGATGTATGGAAATTTGTGAGTAAGAATGAACGTACTCGTATTGAAACGAAATATGAATTTTGTGTCTGCAGGATGACATTTGGTGAATCGTACATCTCACTCTAGTGACTCACTCGCTCACTTAAAAAATGAGGCTCCGGGACGCGTTCATGCATAGGGTGTGTCCTCACTTGTTTCCCGTTTCCAGCACTCAATTTTAAGTGAAAAAATTCAAGTTGGGAGTTCGCGTAGGTCACCTCCAAGCCAGAGTCTATGGCCGGTATCTAACCTGGAACGATAGGATCATGGAAATGCAAGTCATCATCGTCGACCTTGTGAAGCATTTCGAGTTCAGTTTACCGGAGGTGTCTGAATGTGCAAGAATATCCGGCTGGACTCGTGATTGTCCCCCGCGGTGGAGGGTTAAAGCTAATCAGGGTTCTCAGATTCCGTTGCGGGTCTCCGTTTGGGATGACAGAGAGACTGTCATATTTCACATGGCGCTTTTGATCATTTCTTTGTACCTCAGCTGTATGTTACACGCAAAAAAAAAGGTTATCTATCTGACTGGAGTATGGATGAACGATCCCTGCGCTGCGAATTATGAATTTAGGATTAGGTTGCAAGAGCGATAGAACGCGCTTACTAGGAAAGAAGTACTTCATGGCATCAGAATTTACACACAGCGGACTGGACAATAGGACGGGGTCGAGCAGGACGAGTGGAAGCCTCCTTGTTTCCGAAAGCTATGGCTTCCAGTCTCCAATGCCTTGACACTGTCGCACCCGAACAGCACCAACATCAATCAAGCGATTAACAGCCTTCAGCACCCAAGTCCGACAAGTGAACGGGATATTTGGAAGAGGGCGAAGTACAGGTAACCTTGTCAAGAGTCGCTTCTAACGACTGTCTCTTTGTCGGATCGACGTACCCGATCTTGAATTAAGCCGACAAACAACAGCGACTGCCATGCACGACTCGTCCCATCAATCTCCACTTGCCAACGACCCCAATCCTCCCCTACAGTACGGCCATGATATTTAGTACCTTGCCTGCGGAGGTGGTCTCGGAACCAGAGGGCGAAGCCGCCCAGTGATGGTATAATCCCCAGTGATAGCTTCCTGGTTGATAGCGTGCGAAGAGCACGATGTATAATGCTCCAATTTCAGGAGACATGATATAGATGCCTGTATGAACTGGAAACTTGGTATTTTGGATGTGGGTGTGAAATTGGTACAAACCGAGGGGATTCGTCAAGCGAATAGGTAGAAGACCTGAGCTATTCCCCCCATTCGTCGACTTTATAAGCTAGTTTAAGCGCCGAGGGACAGGTACATCAGGGGTGCG